CCCCCCCCGGGTGACCTTACAAGTATCCCTCTGCATTTTGCTTTATCAGGGCTACGGGGACCATAAACCCAAGTCCTCTACTGCAGCTCAAGAGGTGAAAACCCTAGATGGGATTTACACAGAACAGGTGAGAGGAGACCAGCCAATGCAAATGGTAGCAATTTGGGACTGCAGTGTGGGAGGCTTGCTTCAGATCTCCTGAGAGCCTTGTCCTGTTAAGAGTTTCGTTCCTCGTAACTTTGCATCATAGGAGTTAGATTCCTGGGTAAGCCCCAGACGTTGGGCTATGGGATTTTTTTTTTTTGTACGCAAAAGACACCGGCAAGGATGGGAGGGCACCCTGCCTACATTTCACATAGATGCTGGAAGGCGCTGGTATGCAGAAGCTTCCTGAGATGACACGGCTCTGAGTGCTGTCTAGGAATAGAGCTGGTTCAGACAGAGTTGCTTCTGGATCGGGTTGGGGGGGATGAAGCTTAGTCTTGATCAGCAAAGAATGAAGTCACAATGGGGAATGAAAACTTCACGGGGTAAAAGACTGAATAGGTGCCAGGCCTCTTAACATCCATCAATCCACTCCTCTTAAACCAGCACATAAATAGACCAGACCCTGACACACTACCCCTCCTGGTGACATCTGAGCTGGATGACTCTATCTATTCTAATTGTCACCATGGCGCCTGCAATATAGTATATTCGTCGTCTCCAGCTGCAAGCTTCCTATGAAGAGGCAGAAGACTACAGGGGTGGGACAGACAGTTTTCTGCTTGATGCTGGTTCTTGCACATTATTCCTCTCCAGAGACTTTTTTTTTTTTTTTTTAAGAATCTGTGGATCAGAACAAATTAATTTAGGGTTATTCTAATCCCTTGCTGTTATCTAGCACTTCTCAGCAATAGGATTCAGAACACGTTACAGAGCCAGCCAGTAGCATTATCCCCATCTTTACATGGGGAAAGCTGAGGGATGGAGGGGGAAGGGGGACCGGTCAGGGTCACCCACCGGGGCAGCGGCAGAGCTGGGACAAGAGCCCAGGCCTGGGTGAGTCTGGCGCAGCATCAAGCTGCCTCTCAGCTTGGAAACTTGTCCAGTTCACAGGTAGCGGTCAAAGCCTCACATCATGCTTCGGGAGGCAAAATGCTGAATTAATTCTGTCTTGCTAGGTGGCCATGGGCTATGCCCACTCCCTGGTGATAGCCCGAGATGAAAGCGAAGCGGAGAAAGAGAAGCTAAGGAAGCTGCCGGAGTACACCCCACGCACCGTCTGACGAGGCCAGGGACCCGCGCGCTTACCGAGGCAGCTCTCCTTTCCGATGTGCACTGGGACGCAACGTTGTACGAAGAGATTACAGACCGACATCGAGACCAGACCGATGTGTTTTGTTAGACTTCCCGAGGTTCAGTTTTATAAGCGATTCGCAGTTTTAACTACCTGTTACTGTAAGATTTAATTTTTTTTTTTCCAAAGTGTTTTTTGTTTCTTTTAAATGTTTAAAATATTTGCTTGTTGCTGACAAGTTCCCATTCTGATGCAAATGGCAGGACCTTTTGGCATATATGTTAGTTAGACCACTTATTTTTGGCTAGCGATAGAACAGTACCTGGCACAGGAGAAGGTCCAACGTGTTGCTTGTTGTATTTAACGGAGGAAAATCCCTGCTGTGAGCCAAGAGCTCAAGGGGTAGATTTTTCCCAAAGGCACAAATGCCACCTTACACCTCCCCACCAAGGGAAATTCAGTACCAAAAACCCAGCTGTGCCTGTGGGAATCTACCTCCAGGGTTCTGGGACCACTTCTCTGGTGAACGGGGGATACCCAAAAGTTGGCTTGAAGAGAGCGCTCTAGAAATAAGCTTCCACTTTCATTTTTCTTTTTTTTTCTTTTTTTAAGATGGTGGCCTCCCTTGTATTTCCAGGGGGTTGCCAGAGAAAAAGAGTATATAAATCACAGGACTGACTCCTACCTGTTTCTTGGCTTTCTCATTTCACGTTTTGAAACGAGCACCCTTTTTGTGCTATCTGATTCTTCTGTCCCCTTCCCTACCAGTTTTAAAACCCAGTTCGCCTGATTAAAACAACTGTAGGTCGACATTTTCAAAGGTGGCCCTGTGGTTTGGATGCCTTCATTTACAGGTACCCAACAGAGACGTGTTGGACCCACTCTTCTGGAGGTGCTGAGACTCAGCGCAGGGGCTTGGCACCTCTGGCATATCAAGCTATGCAGGTGTCAGGTTGGCCACCCACAACAAGCCAGGGTTTGCTTTTAAATATGTTGTCACTAATGAGTTTCCCCGAGTGCGGATTCGCGACAGGGTGAGGCTTTGACAGCAGCTTGCTGCCGAATGGCTCAAGTCTCCAGAAATGAGCCCAGGTGAAGACCCCTCTTCCAACCCCCTTGAATTTGGCAGCGAGGAGGTGAAGTCTAGATTTAAACACTTTCTGGCTCCATGAATGCAAAGTTGAACCCCTGCCTGCATCTTTGCAGTGTCCAGGCCTCGGGCAGCTGAGAAGTTAGCGTTAGTCAGCCCCTTTTTCCATCGCAGCCTGCACTCTGTCCCCTTAAATTTCAACAAAAATCTTTTTTTCCAGAAGAGCTTCCACCATTTTTGACCAGTACTTGCAGGGAGATCTCAATTTATCTTCATGGCTTTGGGGGTTATTGCCGCCTCCTGAACCCTGTCCGTCCACTCAAACCCAGTTTCTCCAGACTGGAGGTTGGGCAGGTTCGGGTCACTCTCTGCTGGTGTCGCTGGAGAAAACTCTGTCGACATCAACGTACATAAGCGCAGCTCCATCAGGAGGGCATCTCTGCACTTGTCTTTTGTCCAGCTGTTGAAACCAATTGGCTTTTCTGGCAGAGATGCTAAGAGTCCATGGGCAGCTCTCCCCAGGAGTGGTGATCCGATATCTGCCAAAAGTTCCTCCTGTGCCGAGGCTCTGCGCTGTGCTGGAGAAACAAGGTGCCTTTTCGCAGAGTGCTCTGCTCTGTCTCCACGCACGCACACACACGAAGATGGTTTTTCCTTTCTGATTTCACTTGGCAAGTTGCACTGATTTCTAGAGGCAACATTTGCTGACATGCTGTTACATGGTGGTTCTGGGATTCTTGCAGTACTTATTGAAAGTTTTTGGGTGTTTTTTTTTTTTTTTGAATTTTTCATTTCATTGTGTTAAGAGTTTAAAAACTCCTCGAACATGGAGAGCAGCCGGGTGGAAAAGTCCCGCAGTTGGATCTTTGTGCTGTTCTAACTTGCAGCTGTCGGCCTTCCCCACTTGCAAGATCAGTGGCCTCCGTCTTGTCCATAAAAAGATCTTTCCACCCTCTTCTTCTGCAGTTAGTCGATTGGTTTTAATAGGAGTCTTTAAATTGACTTCAATAGAGATCAGACTTGGGGGGGAAAAAAATTCCTTGAGAGGTGGGATAGTCCTCGATATACCAGTTATCTAGTCACCTGCCTGGTCTCCGTATGGTCAGGGTTGAATGGTAGCATCAAAAGACCAAGGAAACGGAAGTGACCCTTTTTTATTAACAGGAGCATGTGTGTGCAGCTGTTCAGCCACGTTCAATCCTAAATCTTTCCATAATGCACAACTTATTTTGAGTAGCTGATCTGAGGCGTCTAGAATTTATCATGTTTCGGGTTGTATTTTTTTTGGCGCTGTAATATCTTCCAGAAGCACCGAGTTCCTGCACTTCCACTTGAAAAATTAGTGTCTCGGTCGTTCAGCACCTCGTCAAATGGGGCTCTCATGTCTCGCATGGGACGGCCCAGGTCAGAAGGCCTTAAAGAAAAAAGCTGAGAGAGATTTGTTCTGAGAGTTTGCTGAACTCCAGATTCGCCTAAGCCTTTTCACCAAGTTGTAGTTAGGACCCGTCTTGTCACTTTTTTTTTTTTTTCTCTCTCTCTCTCTCCGGTTTGCAGTGCAGAAATGTATGAACTCCAGAATAAGCATCTCTTGGCAGACTCTGCAGTTCACGCTGGTGGCCATTCATGGATGTCTGACCGGAGTGGACGGAGGTTTTATCTTGTAACTGCTTGACAAGATAGCAAACTTCAGCACTGGGATTTGTAACTCTGGCCTTTCTGGGACTAGGTGACTGCAGGTGTTAGAAGCTGAGTTTCACCTAAAGCATGGTGGGTGCGGGCTTGTTTAGTCGTTTTCTCTAACCGTCGAAATCCACCCAGGAGATGGTTTGGAGAAAATAGCAAAACATAAAATTGTCCCCCAAATTGCAAACCCAAAGGGAGCCGTCCCTTTGAATGCAATCGTGGACTTATTACAAGTTAAACGATACTTGGGTCCTCATTAACTTTTCCCCCTCAGTTGCCTTCTCCTTGTTCTGACAGTGTGAAAGTGAAGGAGGGCCTAAGAAAAAGGATCTTGGCAGAATTTTTTTTTAATTTTAGGTGAGATGAAAGGTTCCTGGTTTAGTGCTGTAATTGTCTTCTCATGTTTTTTATATTTCTTGGAGTAAATGTTTAAATAAACGACGTCATTGTGTACACCCCTTGGCTTTCTGGTCTCTGAGCACGAGCTGGACCTGCGCTCTGCATTCGTGCTATGGGCTTGTCACCTTTGCTCTCCTAAGTGAGCTTACCATGAGTGCTGGGTCTCCAGTCTTCTTCCTCATCCTGCCCCTCTCACCTGGAGTAGCGCAGGTCAACCCTTTTGGCAAGCATGCCACCCATTAACCCTGCACCCTACCCAAGTACTGCTGTGGTCCCTTTCCCCTGCCTGATCTGCTGCTCTTCTTCTTTCCCAGTGCTCCCTGCTCAGTTTGCCACTTTGCTTTCTGCACTACTTGTCACCGCGCTGCCTATCCCCTCCCCGATCTGCTATGGGCCACGCCCAGAGCCTGTCCATGCCACATGGGGCCAATGACCCCACTTGTCAGTGCCACAGCCCCAAATGGGGTTGCAACCCCTTGTTTGGAGACTGCTGTTCTTGGGGCTCAGCCGCTGTGATGTGGGGAGGTTCTGCATTTGCAGGGTGATTTATCCTGAAATGGATGGGGAGGGCTTTGGGGTTATTTTGCCACCTTGCTCTCAACCCCACTTAAAATAAAAACTTTGCTCCTTAGTTCAACCGCAGTTTCTTAGGAGCAGTGTCTTTAAAAAAAATCAAATAGGTGCTGTTGTCAGACTTGAGGGAGAATCAGGAATGCATCTGAAAAGGGGATTCATAGAATCACAGAAGTCAGGTCGGAAGGGACCTTGTAGATCTTCAAGTCCGACCCCCCCGCCTGGGCGGGAGAAAAGACTGGACTCAAATGCGTCCAGCCAGGTAGGCATCAAGCCTCTTCTTCAAGATCCCCAAGGTAGGAGCCAGCACCACTTCCCTAGGAAGTTGGTTCCAGCTCCTAGCCGCCCTGACTGTGAAGTAGTTCTTGCGGAAGTCTAATCTAAATTTACTCTCTAATAATTTGTGTCCGTTGTTCCTTGTCATGCCAGGGGGCACTAGGGGAAACAGCGTCTCCCCCAGACCCTTCTGGTCCCCCCTAGTTTATAGACAGTCACCAGGTCCCCCCTCAGCCTTCTCTTGCGAAGGCTGAACAGGTTTAGGTCCTGCAGTCTTTCAATGTAGGGTCTGCCCTGTAGTCCCCGGATCATGCGGGTGGCCCTCCTCTGGACCCTTTCAACGTTGTCCGCATCCCTCCTGAAATGGGGCGCACAGACCTGGACGCAGTACTCCAGCTGTGGCCTGACCAGCGTCGCATAGAGGGGGAGGATCACCTCCCTGGCTCTACTTGAGATGCACCTGTGGATGCACGACAAGGTCCGGTTAGCCCTGCCAACCGTGACCTCGCATTGTCGGCCCATGTTCATCTGGGAGTCAGTAATGACTCCAAGATCCCTTTCTGCCTCCGTGCTCTCAAGAAGGGAGTTTCCCATTCTATAAGTGTGCTGCTGGTTTCTACTGCCCAAGTACAGCACCCTGCACTTGTCAGTATTGAAACGCATCCTGTTTATGTCAGCCCACCCCTGTAACCTATCCAGGTCTTGTTGCAGTCTTTCCCTCCCTACTAGCGTGCTCACCTCACCCCAGATTTTGGTATCATCAGCGAATTTAAACAGGTTGCTTTTCACCCCGTCGTCCACGAACTTGACTGTGAATCTCACCCTCTTGCTCTTTGTATCACAAGAGGCAACTGTATAAATGGTATTGCCTGTTTGTATTAGTGATCATGTCCACCTAGCTCGGCATGCAAGGGGAAAGTGGAGGTTGCAGGGTTGTTGCCATCCCTGCAAACTCAGACTCTGAGAGGCAAACTGGGTCTTCCCTGTCCTAAGCCCTGTAGTCTGTCGAGTTGGATTTCCTCCTTTTTTAAGGGATAATGCCTAAAGCAGAATGGCACTACCTGCTCTCGAGCCCCATTCACACGAGAGCATACATCTAATGAAACATGCCTCTTTTTCCACTTAATACCCCTGCACTTTCTCCTAGGCCCCACAAATCAGGCTTGTTCTAGGTAGGCAGCATGGTGAGCGCAGCCTACCAGAGATGGCCTTTTATGCAGGGAAACTAGGGTGTAAAATAAGTGCTATTTATGCACAGCTTAAAAACAAATGCCTTGATTTAACACTTTGGAGTGATACTGCTGTCTGCTTGGTGGGGGACTCTTCAGTGCCATTGCACATTTGTAAGAAGCTCATGGGAATGACTTTAGATGCATCCCTGTGACCCAGTGTGTTCCCCAACAGCCTCCTACAGCACTTCCGTATGGAGGCTTCATTAAAATAGCACTTGAGCAGTCAAGATGATGCAAACAATTCCCTTTCCAGACTCTCCCCACATCTCAGTTTTAGGATTATGAAGATATAGTTTCAGAGTAGTTTCATGGTTTCTAGGGTCTGAAGGGACCTGCGCAGATCATCAAGTCCGACCCCCTGCCCTGGGCCAGGAACGAGTGCTGGGATCATAATGCTCCTGCCAGATATCTATCCAACCTCCTCTTGAAGACCCCCAAGGCAGGATTATGGTATGGCTTCAGATTAACAATATCCATCATGTAATTTTCTCCTCTTAAAAATTACAAAATATCTAAGGGCTATGAACATTCACACTCAGGATTAGGGATGGGTATTTGGCTGGTCAGATATCAGTGAAAAATTGTAAAAAAAAAAAAAAAAATCGCCAATAGGTCCAAATAATACACAGGAAAAAGCATAGATTTTCTATTAAGAAATGTGCCAAAAACCAAAAAAATCATGTTACTGTCAAGAAAGCTACAAAAAAAATGTAGGGTGGTTGTTGTAAAATTGCTATAATCTTTGACTAGTCAAAAAATATGCAGTCAAGAACTGACACCCCCCACCCCCCTTGCTGACTTCCTGGGCCTGGGGCAGGGGACTGGACCCGATGATCTCGTGAGGTCCCTTCCAGCTCTGATGTCTATGAACTGACCAGTCCATTAACAATATTTGTCCAGCTTGCCAGCCCTACTTGGGGTACGAGCCCAGCACCTAAGGAAAAGGAAGGAAAAGTTCCTCGCACCTACATGATGGTTGAGATTTCCCATTGCAGGGGTTCATGCCTCCACCTGGAAAGCATTTGTTTCTGGCCTGTGTTTCAGGCAGGCTCCTGGTCTTAAATGGACCCTGCACTGACCCAGCCTGGTAGCTCCTGTGGGCCTATTGCAGCACCATCTGTAGAAGGCCTAGTGTCATCAGAGAGCCGGTTTTCTCAAGGTGATGCGAGTGATCGTGATGCTCAAGATGGAGAAGAGGGTTGCTGCATCACTGAGACGCTTAAGCATGGCTTGTGCTTGTATGTCTTGGAGGTGTGCACCCTATAAGCCACAGGAAGCTGCTTGGATCTGGTGGTGGGCCAAGCAGCTGACCCAATGCACCCTGCAGTGCAAGGGAGGATGGCAGCTGGCATGAAATGCTGGCAGGGGAAAAGCTACTCCTGGGAGCTTGCTGCTTCTGGAGGCACCTCCAGCTCACAGCAGGACTGTGGTGGGGATCATATGGAGAAGGAGAAAAGTCAGTGGGACAGAAATGAACTTTCCAGGCTGATGAGAGAGGGAGGAGAGATGAGGGAGGTACGCCCTGGCTACACTGCAACTTGGATTGACTGGGCTGGATGGATCTCCCTAAAGCCCACACACATCCAGCTTCAACATGGGATGAACCAGAGCCTGCTCCTGCTTGCAGCCCAGGGTGAGCCCCACATGCCATCTGCCATCAGAGGGCAGCAGTGCATCATCAACAGCATCTTTCCTCTCCCAGGCATAGGGAGTCTAGCTTGCTAAGAACCTTTTTTCCAACTACTCAGTTGCTCTAATAAAAGAGATCACATCTAGCCAAAGAACCTGGCCTGCCTGCGTCCTTAGACCAACACGGCTACAACCAACAACCCAGTTTCCTCTCTCAGGTGTCTTCCAAAATGCATGGGGGAGGGAGGGAGTCTTTCCTTCTGTTGATGTAAATCGGGATTCACCAGCTGAAGGATCAAAAGGAGCGTCCGAGGGGAATCGGGTCCAAGGCACTTGCTGTTTGTGTTGCACAACCCTGCAGTCCATCCAAGACATCCTGTGCTGTTTTCTGGACACTTTCAAGGACCGGTAGCTCTTATATTAAATCCCTTATTCTTGCCAAGCACAACCAGAGAACGAGAGGGCTTAATTATGCACACACCCCTCTGCTACCCCAGACCAGTGCTCTATGAAGGTGAATTGTGCTATATGGGAACGGTCCTAATTGTCACTAGGACTGACCTGTCGGCCAGCTGGCACAGGTGAGAGCACCCCTCTTTCCCCTTGGCAAAGGCAAGGAAGATGAGCTGCAATTTTGTAAGGAGCTGGAGGCTGACTAGTATCTATGGACTGGCAGTGAAAAGCGTTTCCACCCCCTAGATTCAAATCTGCGGTTGAGAAATAACAGTGCCAGGCCTCCAAGTTGGGAAAAGCAGCAACATCAAAATGGAGCGGCAGCCCTAAGGACCAACAGAGTTCTTCATGATAAAAATGATTTTTAAAGCTTCATATTTGTGCTAAGACCAAGCTTGAATAACCTCAGCTCTTAAAGGCCATTCGTGGAGCAACGAGGGTGAAAAATCGGGTGCCAACGTCAGGGCTCCCCTGAACATACCTTTTGGTAGCAGAAGTGTCGGCTTGCAGTATGGGCCCATTTCAAGCAATTCAGCTCTTTTGCAAAAGCTAAAAAAAAAGTGGGGAGGGAATGAGGGAGGCAAGAAGTTGCTGGTAGTAGGTCACTGGCTTGGCACGTGGGAGACGGGGGCTGTGCTGAATCTGCGTGATTTGAAGTGAAAACCTGCTTTGAATCGGACAACAGCATTGAACCTGCATCTTCCTCGTCCCAGGCTGGTAGCTTAACCACCCGGTGGAAGAGTGTAGGAGCACTTGGCGGCCCTACTTTTGTGAAATATTTTGGTTTCACTCCAACCCGCAGCAAGACGACGCCTTGAGAGTTGCAACAAAATGGAACGAAAGTCCCCCAGTCGGACGGCTGAACCGGGACACGACATTTTATTTAGTTTCCAAGTCTGGTCTGTTGCCTGCGAGACTCGGGAACTCGCTAAGACGCAGATCCTCAAGAGCCAAGGGCACCTCGACAGCTTTGAGAACCTGAGCCTCAGTTTCCTCATCAGTAAAATGGGGCTAATAACGCTTTTCTATTTTGCACATGAGAACGATTACAAGTAAGCTATTCTGATACTGTGCTGCAACCGAGGCACTGAATTAGTGATAATAAATGAGATCACGCCCGATTTTAAAGGTCCAAGATCTCATGAGTTTCCATGGCAAGACAAATTGGTGGGAGGTAGTAAGTCTAGGAAGGGGACAATCAGGCAGCTGGCTGGGAGTGATTTCAGGTGCCCGACATGTGCAGCACAGTTGGGATGAAAGGCAGTGGGCTCAGGAGTAGCTGGGGCTTTCACAGCAGGGTCTGTAACCCCTGGGCTCCCGTAGAAAGTGGTATTTTTTACTATAAGTACAAATCCGGCTCTGGGTGAAGCAAACTCTTGGAAAATGTGAATTGATCTTCCGCTCCCTCGTAAAGTGCTGAGAGCAGGTCAGCATTTAAATGCCCCCTGCTCAGGGGATCACGTTCCACCACTTGAAGGAGAAGGGTTTACGGAGGACGTTGGTGCCGCAGTGGACTTCCCCGTGCCACTTGTGGTAGGTGAAATAGTCATTGACGAAGGTGCAGGTCAGGCCCAGCGGCTCCAGCTGGGAGCGGACCTTCTCTTCCAGGCAGCACTGCCCGTTGATGATGGGCCCAAAAGGCTTGGGGATGCCCAGGTCCTTCCCCAAGACTATCATGTTCACCTGCAGCCAGGAGAGACCGGGAAAGGATGAACATGCACCTCAACATGATCCCTGAGCAGGTCATAAGCACTGGTAAATGTATAACTATTGTGCTGGAAGAGAGACAAGGCTCCCTGTACCAAGGATGCCTGCGAGGACATCCAGCCTGGTGCAATTCATCCATCTCCAGTCCACCAGGCAGCAAACACCCTGGAGTTTGGCTTGAACTACTCTCCAGGACTGGGATTTTTTAAAGCCTAGCATATTGTCTCCTTGGAAAAGGTAACATCAGGGAAGCAATGCATTTTAGTTGTTAAATTACAACTCAGCAGCTGGGAGCAGCAACCAAGGCAGTTTTTACGGTTCCTAACTGATGTAAAATAGGATTTGGTCGCCTGGTCTTGCCTGAGCCAGTTAGATTGGGCTTTGTCATCAAGTAGAGGATGCTATCACCATTGTTATGGAAAATAGACTACACGTAGTGGAAACTGAGGATCTAGTCATCTACTGAGACCTCAGAGAGAAGATAATTTTGTTGTGCTGAGATACGAGGCACCACTCTTCACGGATGGGTTGTACAGCACCATTTCGGATCCAGTTTTAACTGTCACATCATTCTCAAACCAGCTTACTAGTGTGGTGCCTAGCAGCCAAGTTTTAGGGCCTTGGTGTCCCTATCTCTGAAATGGGAATGATGATAATGAGTTGGAGAGCACTGAAAGCTGCCAATGAAAAGCAGGACATCAGAGGCAGGTATTATTTCTTAAGGCAATGGACAGCTAAGTGTTGAAAAATCATAAGCCCTGCTTTCCTTAAAACAAAGCCATCATAAATACTTACATAATTTTATCATGGCTTTGTTTTATATATATATAAGTTTGTGTGCGTTTTAAATAAATGTAATTTGCTCCTCACTTGTGTGTGTGTTTTAAATAAATATGATTTGCTCCTCACTTGTAAGCTATAATGGTACTTCAGATTTGCTAGTTTTCCTCCACATACATAAGAGCTAGAGACATTAAGTACAAGCAGATATTCCTGGGGTGTTCACTTGACTCCAGCAGCTGAGTCTTTACAAAGGCAATTGGAGTATTGCAAGAATGGAATAAAAAATCATGAGATTTGGCAGCACTGTTAAAGGGGATATCCGCTGAGGCCAGGACCTGTCTGGGAAGATGGGCTCCCCGTTGCAATGAAGATGGGTTTTGTCTTCGGCAAAGTTTAATAATTTTTTTTTCCAGTGGCCAGTCCTTGAAGGACACCCCAGCCCTCAGTTTCCTTACCATGTCTGGGAAATAGGCCTCAGCCCGCTTATCCTTCATATTGAAGAGCTGTGGAATATCAACGATGTCCTTCGGACTCAGGCCAAGCTCCTGTTTCAGGATGTCCCTGTTCCAGTCGATACAACTCTGCAGAGGGAGGAAGGAATTACAGAAGGGAAAGAAACCGCACCTTTTCTAGAAGGCCCTAGGACAAGGAACATCAGCAAAGACGTATTGTGGAATAACCCCCCTTGGACATTTTTAAGTGCAGATGTGGCACATGGGGTTTGGTGAGAGAGGGAGAGAGAGTCCTGCCTTGAACAGAGCTAGGACCATAGAGATGCTGTAGAGGCACCTTCCCTGCCCCCAGCAAATGACCCATTTTCACTTATTCCTCTGGGAGCACAGCATAGGTGTGTCTTGATTCACAACAAGCCCATTTACGTGACAAACCCCCCCAAATCACAAGTCCAATTTGGAGTTTCACTGCATGTATTTCAAATAACGGAGATCTCCCTCTAGTCCACAACAGTCTCCATCTGCTTTCAGCCTGGTAGCAGCCTTGCTGACGTCTTCCCCTATGTTTGTCTCGTGTCTGTACCTGAAAGTAATCGTTTTCCTTCCTGAGGGTTTCATCGGCTAGAATTTCTTCTATAGTTTTCTTGGGAACCTTCTCTAGGCCTGCAATCAAAGGGAAAGAATCACCCAAGAAGAAATGAATGAGAAGTCAGGCACTAAAACAGGGCCATACATATAACTTGTGCCCAACTTAGACAAGAGGGGCTGTAGCCTTTGTGAGTGGGGAACCTATAACTCACACTCGGGGTTGATGCACACACAGTTTTCCCTGGGGATGTCCAATAGAATAAATGCCTCAATTTTTATTCACTTTTGTCCAGTTTGAGCTCCCAGCCCCCCACCCTTTCCCACAAGAACTGTGGGGAACTAAAGGTTTTGTTCCAGTTTGGGTTTCTGGAGAAAATGTTCCTATTCCAAAATTGAATAGAATCCAATTTTCTATCCAGACTGCTTTATAGTCAGCCACACACAACCCCTCTGTGCCCATTACACAGTATTGCGGTACAGCCCTGCTCACAAATGGTTGAAACCTTTGGGTGGTTTATTATCATACGCGAAGCTGCGCCATCCTACCTTCAAACATCTGGGCCTTTCCATGGCCCTCTTCTTGCTTTTCTTTGAGAAGCTTGTAACAGGCACTGGGACTGGCTAAGAGGAGCCGAAATCCCTGACAAAAGAGAGACAAGTCAGTTCAGTGTCAGGTCTGGCTCAGATTCCCCTGTCTGAACCCTCACTTGCCATCCTTTTGAGAACTCGGCATGTGTACAAGCGTCCCAGATTAGCAGCCTTATTCCACACATGCTCTGGAGCAACTGGAGTCCTAGCAGTAGGGAGAGAGGCTAGTGGGGGGCAATGAAAATGGTTGTGGGGCTGGTGCACATGACTGGTGAGGAGAGGCTGAGGGAACTGGGCTTGTGTAGTCTGCAGAAGAAGACAGAGGGGATTGAATAGCAGCCTTCAGCTCCCTGCAGGAGGGCTGCAAAGAAGATGGAGCTGGGCTGTCCTCAGTGGTGGCAGGTGACAGGACAAGATGCAATGGGCTCAAGCTGCAGCAAGGGAGGTTTAGGTTGGATATTATTATATTAAGTTGGATATTTAGGTTGGGTATTAGGTTAGAAAAACCTAGGAGGGTAGTAAAGCACTGGAACAGGTTCCTCAGAAAGGTGGGGGAGTCTCCATCCTTGAAGGTTTTCAAGACCCGGCTAGACAAAGCCTTGGCTGGGATGATGTAGTTGGGGCTGGTCCTGCTTTGAGCAGGGGGTTGGAATAGAGGTGGCCTCCTGGGGTCCCTTCACACCCTCATTTTCTGGGATTATATGGTCACCCCTTAAAATATCCTCATCTCTGTGATATGGAATAAGCCAAGCGCTCTACCTCAGATTCCTTACTGGCCAAACGAAATGCTTTCCTCTGGTTGGTTACACCCAGCTTCCCCCTGTTTCTCTGCTCTGGTGCTCACAATAAAGGCTAAGATATCATCAGGGCAATCTTCTATGAATGTCCTTGCAGAGATGAAGGGGGATGGGGAAGTCAGAGAAACAACCCGGCAGCCTGCTTCTGAGTGCAAATGGTGCCATGGGAGCTGTAACACAAAGGGCTCCCAATCCCATTCTTTGCTGGTAGAAATGCATCTCCCATGTTCCTCTATGTTGTTCTGCCATCTGATTGAGGGGCAGGTGCCTCATGCCAGGTAGTTTCTTCAAGTTTGCGGTCTCATTGCCATGATAAAGCCATGCCCTTCCCCAGTGCTTGTCCCCTGTACCCCTTGAGTGGTCAGCAAAGTTCAAAGCTTTGTCCGGTGGCTCTCCCTTGCCCTTGCATTTAGAGAAAAAACATCCAGCCCATGCTTGGATAGATACCCTACTCCCAGACCAAGAGCCAGGCTGCTGCAGGGCTCACAGAGCTTTGGAGGTTAAAGACCAGCCACGTTGTAGCCTGCCTGGGGCCTGGCATGGTCCTGATGCAGGCTTACGGAGAGGGTGTGGAGGCTGGGGTACCAGTACCTGTCTGTCGTGGGCCGGGACAAAGCTCAGGAACTCATCCACGTGCCCCACGAAGAGCCAGTCTGAGAAGAGCTCCACCGGGGCCTGCACCCTCTGGGCATAGAGGAAGTCCCTGACGACCTTGGTCATCCTCCTGCCACCAACCCTAGCCACAAAAAGGGAGGGAAGAAGCAAATGCAAACTCTAGTTAGCGACAGTCTATATGCAAGGCAGATGGAGCCGAACTCAGGCGCTGGGACCCCTGCTCCTGCAAGGAAAGGAATTGCAAGGCCCTGGAGAGACCTGGCTAGGATCCTGGGCACCTTCTCGCAGCACAGGTGAGTAGCATGATGATGACTGAAGCTGCAACAGGTGCATGGAAATGCTGATTAGGAGAATAGAGAGCCCAAGGCCGCCTGGTTAGTTTAGCCCAGCAAAGCAAGCCCTGGGAGGGGAGAGGATTGCTGTTTGCAAATGCCCTCTGGGGAGCTAGAATTGCTACTGAAGCTAAAGGGGAAATGGGGATTGATAAAAGCAGGCTGGAGATGAGAGGGTTTCTTGCCCTTCAAACAATGAATGAGGTTCTGGAGCAACCTCCATGAGTCCAACCTAAAGATGAGACTTGATCAGCTTATGAAATGCTGCTCATTTGCAGGTGCCTGCAATGCCAGGACACTGGCTTTGAAGACCTACGAGGTCCCTTCTATTCCCCACATCTGCACAGCACCTTGAACCCATGCCCCAAGTGTATATGGTGCTCTGAGATCTGATGAGCACCTCTGCAAAGGACAGCCCCTGGGTGTGCCAGGAGAAGGAGAGTGCAGCAGGTCTGCTTTACCCAGGTAGCCGGCAGCTCCTGGGGACAGTCCTGCCTGGCTCTGGAAGGGGAGGGAGGGCTGCCACGTGGGGGGACACTGCCATGCAATGGGAATGCTCCCAGTAGCATGCTCTACTGCATGCCTGTGCAAATATAAGGGTTGCATCTTTCAGCCCCTTGTTCCTCCCAGCTAACCAGAGCGGCCAGGGTGGGGGAACAGGTGGATGTGGCTCCAGTCACTGGGGTGAGAGTTGCTGGAGGAACAGGGGCGGGCAGCACTTGTCCCCTCAAATACAGACCAGGGCTGGGGAGGTAGAAGATGGTGTAAAAGCAGGGCACAGTGAGGATCCTGCCCTGCTGCCTTCACCTGGCACCAGCTAGGTTGTAGCTACAGGAACTGCATATGTGGGACAGGAGTGCAGCTTGTGCCTGTGGCCTCGGGCCTCGTAAATAAGTTCCAGAGAAGTAGTCCTGCGGGGCAGGAGCCTGCAGCACTGTAGAAATGAGTCTGAGATAAGCTGCACTTTAGTTGTTGAGTTTTGTTAACAGTCTGGGGGGTGCCTGGGAGCTGCTGCTGTCCACAAAGAGTGGGACTGAGGAGCTGCTCCGGCGTGATGGGGCAGGTGTGCAACTTCCAAAGGACGTGGACAGGCGTGCAACTTGTGAAAGACATGGCTGAAAGGCCAGGTACCCCCCTCGGGTGCTAAAAGGGGCTCCCTGAGATGCTGAGCTGTTCTGTGGCACCGCCGTACAGAGCTCAAGGATCAGTAAATGATGCTGACGATCGATGCTTCTGCCCCCAATGTTTGTACTGATAAATTGCATTCGCACAGAGAGAAAAAAGTAATGCAGGTACCAGAGCTAGATTGGTCCTCAAAGGGCTGAGCCTTGACATCCTTATTGAACACATGCTTTTCAGCTCATCAGATACTTCATAATAGCTGTTGCGGATAGCGGTTACAGGACATCAAATAAGGATGTCCACTAAGAGGTGGATTAGGTGGTTCAATTAAGTGACAATACTCTGTGGCAGTATCTGTGTATAAAGGTGGTGCAGGTACTTTTGCAGGCTCTTGAGGAAAGGAGCATCTTGTTGCTTAGCACCATGGGGCTCTGGTCCAGAGCTGAGCTCCTAGATGCTCACGGAAGGCCGTTTCTGGAGGTATTAAGTGTTACACTATAGCACTAGATATAGGAAAGAATATTATTTACAGCTGAATGAGCAATTTGGTACTCTCTGGGGTTATATTGGTAGTTTATATTGCTTTCTACAAGCAATATAATAGGTTGTATCACTTCCTACAGGCATCTCTACACAGAGGATCTAGAGCTCCTTCTGCACTGATGCACCTTTCCACGCTCTAGCAAGTGAAACTTTGTCCCATTGCCACATCCGCATCCACAGCATGCAGCTGGAGGGAGAGGTTGGCACCACCATTCAAAATTGCCCTCACTCCTCTCACCTGGGGAAGCTGCTTCCAATAAGGATCCTCCCCAAGGGATATTCCTTCCCTTTGACCTTCACGGGAGGGCTGACTTCAAGGTTTCCAAAGGAGTCGAGGCTGGAAATTCCCCCCTTCAGAGATTCTCGAGTCACATAGCCAAAGTCGGGGCCCTTGCAGGGAATAAGACTTAATTAGTTCCTCTGCCCCCTTCCTAAAGACAACAACAAAATTAGATCACCGATTTGCTGCCGTCCAAACAGGACTTGTGGTGCCAAGGTCTTGAGCCAGCATTGCTCCCTAGGGATACATTTCATCAGGCCGTAGCAGAAGCGGTTGCAATGCCAGGCATCTGGTTTGGGTGCTAAATGTGCAGTCCAGCGTGGCTATGTGAGACACACCATAGCACAGAGGGCAGGGGGTGGACCTGGAGCTGGGACGAGCACAGGCGAGGGAGTTTTCTAAAGAAAATCAGCTCTGAACACCTGCCTGCATCAGCAGCATTTGAATCTAGAGTTAATTGCAGAGTCTTCAAAGCCACCGGCTGCATCTCTAGATGTAAGGAAGCTGCCAGCGATGTTCAGGGCTGAAAGCAATAGGCAAGTCACCTACCAAGATGCTCTTGGGGAAGTCCTTCAGCCCCCCGTTTCTGGGAGAGTCGAAGACCACAGGGAATGTTTTATGGGGCGCCTGCACGTAGCCAAATTCCATCTCGTCCTACCAGAGAGGAGCAAAAATACTATATAAGCCAATACAGGACCTGAACCAAAACCCACTCCCTTTGATTTCACTGGGCTTTGGACTTTCCCCTTTGTGCCATCCCTAATAGCCCCTGTCTCGGCGGCTCAGAGAATAGACCCGCTCTTCCCTTCAGCACAGAGGCCAGCTTATTTTTAGAGCTACATTCATCATATTTCACTTTTCTGGCTTTGAATGTCACGGTTTCCTTTCGGAGCACTGCTAATGCAGCGTGGCATGTCAGAGATTTAGGCTTCTAATTCCCCCTGGCTTTGCATCGTACAGGATTACTGATGTCTGTATGAAGGGGCACCAAATGTTGCCGGATCGGTCTGCGGGGACTTTGTGCCCAAGCATAAAATGGCTCCTCGAGACCTAGTTGTGTCTGGCTTCCCCAGCCCACGTGGTGGTACCTGGATCCAGCTGTCGTTCTGGTTCTCCAGCTCTGGGCAGATGGTCAGCTTGCACCTGGTTTTCTGGGCAAGGTTACTTATGGCCTCGACAAAATCGGTGTTGTCACTGATACTGGAAAGGAGCGGGGAGCAAGTGAGGCCGGGACTAAGGAAAAACTTTTTTTCTTTCTTGTTTCCCCGCCCCCCAGTAAACTTGGGAACTTCCCCAACAGGCTCAAGTCAAACAGTGGGGCACTAACTGGGCATGCCTCATTAATCTACTAGTAATCCAGGAGGTTTCCTGCACCACTATAGTCAAACACCTCTTTTTGTGAGTTGGGAGGGAATATTTTTGTTTCATTGAGCTTCTCCACCTGTCCCTGGCTAGTTGGGCCCCTCGGCAGAGCATGTCCTTGCCCTTCTCTGGGCAACCTTGAGACACAGAAGTGATTCTTCCCCTTTGTTCGGCACTGGGGAGGCCACATCTGGAGTCCTGTGTCCAGTTTCGGGCCCCCCACTGCAGAAGAGATGTGGACACATTGGAGAGAGTCCAGGGGAGGGCAAGGAAAATGCTTCAGGACACGTCTTATGAGAAGAGGCTGAGGGAACCGGGCTGATTTAGTCTGGAGAAGGGAAGAGCAAGGGGCGATTTAATAGCAGCCTTCAACTCCCTACAGGGGGATAGAGCTGGGCTGTTCTCAGTGGTGCAGATGACCGAAGGAGCAATGGGCTCAAGCTGCAGCAAGGGAGGTTGAGGTTGGATATTAAGGAAAAGTTTTGCACTAGGGAGATAGTAAAACACTGGAACAAGATACCCAGAGAGGTGGTGGGGTCTCCATCCTTGGAGGTTAAGACCTGACAAGACAAAGCCGTGGCTGGGATGATGTCGTTGGGGCTGGTCCTCCTTTGAGCAGGGGGTTGCACTAGATGTGACCTCCCGAGTCCCTTCAACCCTCATTTTCTATGACCCTAAGGCTGGGCATGAGGGACTAGCTAGGCTGAAGTCAAGCATTTCCAGGGAAAGCTCCTGATCATTTACGGTCTACCCAAATTGAACCCAAGAAGTTCCAGCCTAGTTGTACCAATTGCACCCTGCTCTTATCTAGCACTTTGCATCTGTTGGTCTTAAAGTGCATTGCAATGGGAGGTCAGGATCATCATCCCCGCAGAAGCTCTCTCTTCAGGATGCTTCTTCCTATCCAGCCTGCTCTGGAGAGACAACAGAGTGACTTGATGCCAACAGGATTCCTCCCCTCTCGAGCGTAAGCATTTTAAATGCTTTGCTGGACTGACAGCAGAGGGCTCGGCGCCTGGCAGGACTTGGCCCTTGATTTTAAAAAGCTGCCCCCACCCCCCATGGTAATTGCCCTTTCCTGCCCTCACCTGCAGACGTAGATCTCCAGGGGCTGCAGAGTGTTGGGGGTCATTATCCAGGGAGCCACGCGGAAAACGACGGTGTCTGTGAAAATCGGGGTCTCAGGGAGACTCTATTAAGGGAGCGAAGTGCAGACAGACAAGGGAAGAGTCAAGCCTCCAAATACCCAGAGCAAGTGGAAGATGCCTGCTTGCATTTGTCCTCTGCCACCTCCTCCACACTGGCTGTCGTGGGGACTTGCATCCCTCTTAGTTCTGCTCCCTGGTGCAGACTCCGCTCACTGTAGTTTAAAGCCTCTTGCAGGAAGGTTTAAAACCTCTGCCTGGAGGTAGGGGAGGTTTGGGTCTAGCCGTCCCCTTCCAGTGTAATGGCCCCACAACAAAGGCTGGCCCAATGACTTCTAATGCTAAAGCAATATTTCTGTCATTTTGGCAAGAACGAGGACTCCACTGGCTGGCTCTAGTGGGTTTATTTAATATATTTTTGGATTTCATCTGCCAGCTCAGGAGCAGTTGGGGGACTTTCTATTTGGCGTGAGCTTCAGAGCTCGGTTCATCTTCCAGCCATTGGTTCTAGGTCACTGTTCACTATATGTCCTAGGCATCCTCAGTCTCTCTCCTCATTTCATCCCTTGAGCTCTAGTACATATCACCAACTTTATTGTCTTTTCTGGATCCCTTCCTAACGCATCTCCAAACTGTCACAGCTGCCACCTTCCTTCTTTTGCAGTAGCCTTGCTTAGCAAGCTATAGAAAGTAGTTAATCCTAATGGACCATGGAGACGGTGCTAATTGGGAAAGAGCACAGCACAAGCGAGACCATGATTACCTACCCTGTTTGGCTGTTGATGTGGGGCACCACATGCACACTGGCTATTTTATGGGCATTGGGAGAAAAGCAGATCAGACGGGGGTTGGGGTCTATTCTGGTTAATAACTAGTTTCTGTTTCTTCTCCCCTGCACCCTTCAGCGAGCCATTGCAGAAGCAGCTTTTCCTCTTGGGCTATGCCAATACCCACGGGCAGGCTGGGAGCAAGGGCCCAGCAGCAGCTGGAAAACCCTCAACGTCAACTGGTGCATGGTCTCAGCAGAAGCACCTTGCTCTGGGAGAAATCAGGGGAAGGAGCCACAAGTGTCTCACCACCCATGATTGTAAACCCACCCCCCACTCCCTGTATCACTTTATCCTCTCTTGTGTGCATGTGTGCGGTCCATCTACCACAGAAGTAGATGAGCCTTGGCAGACCCTGACCTTGGGGAGTATTTTAGTTGAGTCAGAAGCTCATGTTTTAACATCCGGAGGTTGTAGGTTCAATCCTAGGTGCCCATGAGCCATGCACGAATGTAATGCAATAGTAGCCAATGATGCATGCAGGGGTGTAATTGCATCTCTAAAGCCATAGCCATTGCAGAAGCTCCATTCAGTCCAGCCTGGACATACAGATCTAGTCAGCACGTTGGTTTATTGTACCTTGAGTGAGGTATCCAGCATTGTGGCGTGGAAGGAAACCAGCCCGGAAAAGTCGGCATCTGGGAAAGCCAACCCCTCCACGTAGAACGTGTGCTCCTCCTCGCCAAGGGCATGCTCCACCACGTAGAAGAGCTTCTCCGGTCCTAGGACGTGCATGTGCTGCTCAACCAGCTTGTTGCCTAAGAAGGAAAAAGAGTGAGCTGTAAGTTTTGGGGGAACCGCTCTGCGCATCCTATGCGGAAGTCACCCAGCCGTACCCATCATCCACGGGTCAAGCTTCCAGGATCTCCTCTTGGGACCCACCAGCTATTGGGGTGCAGAGAGACTTGACCACTGAATTGCCTCATCTGGGCTGTGTTCTGGCCAAGACCCTCAGCTGTGGGGCAGGAGGGTACTGGCGTGCAAAGCTGACCTTTGCACTGCCTCCAGACCTCGGGTGAGACCACTGCTTCCCACTGGAAAGAGAAAACACCCTTGCACTAAGACATCCCTTCTAAACCCATGGAGAACTGTCAGGCTTGGATGGAAACACTTTGAATCATAGATGTATAGGGCTGGAAGGAACCTCCATACGTCATTTAGTCAAAGCCCCTGCCTGAAGCAGGAACATCTCCATCCAAACCATGCCATGCAAATCCACTGTCCAACCTCTTAGCAAAACCGCACCATCAAGTTGTGTAAGTGTTTGCCAGGCTGGGGCATAGGTGTAGAGGCTGCAGGGCTGTGCTCGGACGCAGGGCACTGCCCTCCAGGAGTGAAGCCCTGGCAACGGCACAGCTCATCTCACCGCAGATTGACATCTTGTTCCTGCTCCTATTAAACCAACCCCCATGGAGGAGAGAGGGGAAGCTCTTTCGACTAGATAAGAGAACCCACCTAACTCCCACCCTGTCCCATTTGGGGTGCGGTGTGTTGCTTTAGTACAGCTGATGGACTGGGCGCAGAGCTACGGTGGAGAGAAATGTAGGCTCTCTTGCATATTGCATTGGGTCTTTCATTTCAGGGCAAGGGCAGCCCAAGAAAGGCTGGGTACTCACTGTGAGCATAGAAGACTCCTACTTTATCAGCGTCAGACCCAGAAACGTGAAGAACCAACTTGTGATTGGCAAAAACTGCACCCGGGCCCCGAATTCTCAAGACCATGAGTGACATGTCCCTGAGGTCTGAGCATGAAAGGAGATCAAGGAGAAAAGAATAAGTCTTATTAAGAAGTGACAGCTTTTGGATTCATCCCAGCAAAACCTCGGGAACGGAATGTTGTATTCAGATAAACACATAGGAGGCCAGCAGCTCAGCTACAGCAAATCAGCCTTAGTCCATTGACCCCTCTGGATCTTGGGGCTGCACTGTCTGCATCCTGCTACACAAGCTCCAACAAATCAAAAGACACATGTTTCATCAAAATGGTTTCTCGACCAGCTACAATACGGAGTGTGAATATGAGCAGCAACGGGCTCCTTTTAAACCAGGAATTTAAAATTTGTCTGCCTTGAGTTGCTTTTAATTTTCCTGTATTGTAATTTTGTCTTCAAACAGCTCCACAAATGCTGTAAGTGCTGAGCGATGTTCTTTTTAAGGTGCAACTTCAGTTGCTCTATCTAGTATCTCCGGGGGCTTATCACGCATGTATTGAGGGCACCAAAAAGGGGGAGGTATCCAGAACTTTTACAATCTTTTCTGTGCCTGTTGAAGGGTGTTTGTGCCTGAAAGCTTGCAATTAAAGACATTTTTTTGCAAAAGTCTTGTTGGTCTAATAAGATGTCATCTCTACTATGAGTTGTGATTGCCAAAAAGGGGAATTTTGCTTTTGCTGGGACTGTTCCTAAAGGAGAAAATTTGAAGTCATATGTAGTTGTGAGCTTAAAACGCTGGATCAATGTTTTTCTTTCTTCCCCACAAGCTGATGCTGTGTTCCCTCTTGGGGAGCTGTGTGATGTGGGTTAGGAACAGCTATAAGCTCCATTGTTAATCCATATGCTTCTCATTTCCCAGAGACCTGAAAATCAGATGGGACTCTTGACCACTCAAAACTAGAAGCAGTTGGGTGCACAGGAAAGAAGGAGGATATGGAGTGTGTGTAGCTATGAAATTCCCCTACTAAATGCTCCTGGGATTTATGCCTTTAGATTGGCTGCATCAAAATGTGCAGTCAGCCCCTGTATATCTGAACAGGGGCTTGCACAAAAGGCAGCCAGCAGCTGGCTTCGCTGAAATGGAGAGCTTCTGCTAGTTGACACTTAGCTCTGCCTGGGACGCTCTTATTGAACTGCCAGTAAGTCACTAGTTGAGTGGCTTCAAATGAAGGGTTACAGGTCTAACACTTTTCATATCCTTATGGTGTTCTTATGATCTCATAGAAATGCCTGAAGCAGATAAAATGTTTCCTGGGTATTTCCAAGAGAGCCCTAATGGTAGCAAATGGTGGAAAACTAAGCCTGGCTTTGAGAGGAGCCTGTAGACCTTGCTGGGAGTCATGTTTGGTGTTGCCACCCTTCACCTCCCCAGCAAAGTACCTTTATAAGTTTGCACGCGCTGATCCTTATTGTCCATGGTCTCAGACGTTGGGTCATCTCTGTCACAGTTCACCAGCAAAACGGCTCCTTGCCCACCTGGCCCCCAAGTCCAATTTCTCTGGAGAAGCAAACCAAAAAGCAAACTAAGAGCAGATAAGAAAACTAAGGGAGCAGAGGCCCGGACCCAAATGCTTTCACCTGCAGCCACAGTAGTGAAAGCCAAAAAGACATCCCCGTGATGCAGCTCACCCCACAGAAAGTATGACTCGCCCAGCAGCTCGAAGCCTTGCAAAATCCAGATGTGTGTCTCCCAAAGATCTGCATCCAGTATTTTGAATTCCACCATAGGGGCCAAGCACCCAACTTTTTGGCATCAAAATGACTTCATTTCTCATTTAAGCAAGTTTCACCAGGAATGTAAATAACTGAGACCCTTGAACTCAAACTGTTGATAAACGAGACCCAGCAGAAAAATGTGTTCAATCATGGACTCCTAGACTTTTAAGAAATGGTGAGAACCTCATCTGTGTGGACAGACAGGGTTGTGGAGACCTCTCCATAGCCATGACATGGGCCACCAACCCCTTTCAGGGATGATCGCTAGTGGTTGGAAGAGTCATCTAAAGTATTTCAGATAGTTCAGAGGTTGGGTTTTTTTGGATCCTAGAAGTTAGGTTGGGTTTTTTTGCTTCTGGGACTCCTCTCCTCATGCTGTATTCTTTATGGTCATAACTCTGTGGGGCAGCCCTGGGATGACAGGTTCAAAGATTGCATAGCCTATTGCGCTCTCTTGTACTGCTTCCGTATGGGGTCTTCATAAAGTCCTGGTGCAAAACCTAAGTTTAAAAGTGCACCAGGACTTTACAAAGACCCTGTATAGAGATGAACGGTCCTTACCTTATCTGTTGCTTTCTTCTGCACTGTCCCACTGCGAGTCGTGTCAGCCTCCAGGGACACTTCTGCAATGTCACAGGAGAAAGAAAACCCAAGTGGTACCTATGAATAGGACCCAGCCATCTTCCCTCGGGGCGAGGGACCTTTTATGCTGCGTTATGGGCATCTGCATACCTATGCAGGCCACATGGTGACATGGGGCTGTCGCTCTCCCCATCCCAGAGAAGGAGTTATTCTGTCGGGTAGATTTTATTGCACTGCAATTCTGCTTACCAACACAGGTGAGGTACAGCATGGCTTTCTGCAACACAGTCTGCCCATCCTTCCCGTAGTACAGTATCCGAACCTGCAAAGATGCTGTCTGGTCACTGCTGTTGTCAGCACACCATCGTTTCTACTGCTGCTTAAAATTGCCGAACGGGCAGTCAGCTGGCCTAGTGCTATCCCATCTCTATCTATAGAGTGGGGATTCACACTTTTTATCCCAACCAGCCTGTTGTCTTGATTTAGACTATAAACTCATCAAGGCTGGGTCTGTCTCCTGTTTCATGGGTCTTCACTGCATAGCACAATGGGTCCCAATGGAGTCACAGCTTCATAGGAGTGTCTGGGACCCTGACGGTCGGCTCCTCCAACCCCCGTGTTGCTTCCTCGGAGATGAGTGCAGTCAAGATAACATCATCAAAATAATGCATTCATTGGAACAAAGCAACAAGATCAGCTTGCTGCAATGACATGGGCTTCCAGCTCATATTACCCCAGCCAACGAGGAGGTGAACAGGGACATTCATACCCAAGGGCTCCAAACACCTGCATGCTGCAGGTGAGGGGAGGACCTTGCTAGCCTAGAGGCAGCAATTAACTGCAAAGCTGACTTTCATTAAGCTCCCTTTTGTCTGGTTCTGAACCAGATCAACATTTCTTTCTGTTAAGAAACTCTTATTAATGCAGCCCAGTATGCCGTTAGCCGCCTTCACAACACGGGCACACAAGGAAGTTTCCTCTTCTTCCTCCATATAGATGCTTCTCCCTTGCAAGACCAACCCACCTTATGATCATCGACATCATCGCTTGGCCTTCCCATAGTCACCACCACCTCTGCTCCGGCACCGAGGGGCCATCTGGGCTCGCTTGTTGGCATCTGCGTAGGCTGAGGGGTGTGGACAACGTAGACGTCAACGCCAGGGCTTCCTCGGGCATCAAACCACATGGCATCTTTTGGGGCTGAGCTGAGATGGAAATTTCATTAGAGGCAGAGCCAGGAGTTGTGAAACACCTTGAAAAAAAATCACCTGGTTTCCATAGGCTCAGGGCATGCGATTGCTCCTGTTTTAAGCAAAAGGACTTCAGAAGCAAGCCGAGCTTTGTTATGAAACATCCGGCACTTACAATAACCTGCAGGAGAGCCTCCTCCTTGATAAAGGAGGCTAATTTCATTTGACTTGTTTTTTGGCGTGGCTGTAGGCAGCTCTTTCCCTGACATTTTACAGTGAATGTTTGCTGTACGAGGGCATAGCTATAGGCAATGGATAAGGATTTACATCAATCCTACAAACTGGTACTAGATACTCTTGTGCATCGTCTCCTGGCACTGTGTCTATTACCCATCTACACCTCCACTGCTATCTTGCACCCAGCTTAGATCAAGGTTTTTGGCCCAAAGTAAGGGCAGGTCAAACAGTTCATTGAACCCCAAAGGAAAGATACGGAAGAGGTTTTAGCTAGCAGCTTGGGCCCCATTCCCCTTGGCATGCATGCAACGGCAGGATGTTGAAAGACAATGCTCCATGTTCACTCTGCTAAATGGCAGGTGGCTAATTCCACTAATAAACCTGCCACTTTCTGCTCTAAGCTTGCCTTCTAGTGTCTTTGGTGTCTTTTCACCTCCAATTACACCTAGTCATGTTGGCTTCCAGAGCAGCTTGGAAGACTCTGGACAAAAGTATGGCTTCTCCTTTATACACTCCCACCCACCAGTCTGCCTAT